TTCAAAGCCTCTCTCTTTCTCTCTCGACAAGGTGAAAAGTAAAGGCTGCATCTCTTTCAATCATGGCTGAGCTGTGTGTTGATGCCTCTGAAGCAGACCAGGCTGGCGTGTGCTTCAGACTTGAGGGTCATTTGGAGGTCTCCAGAGATCTCAGGTGCTTCATTCTTCTGACTGAGCTATGGAAAATGTTTCCTAAATGAAGAAAGACCCCAATGCTGTCCCTCCAACTTCTCTTCACTTTTGAATATCCCTTCAATTAAATTGAAAAGAAAAGAGGGGGGAATGGAAAATACCTTCCATTTCCCAAGTGAGAACACCAACAGGGTTTCTTAAGGATTTTGGAGGGCCTAGGCACAGGGTTGATTGGGAGCCTCTCTGCATTTAATCACATGACACCTTGTGCCTGAGTGTACATATGAGCAAATTTGGTGTTTCACATATTTGGATTTTGGTGCATTTGTGCAGTGTACTTTGGTTCTTTCTTCATTTTACACCCCCGAACACTTGTGCCCTATATGAAGGCACACATTGCACACGTACATGTTTCAACATTGGCTGATGGGTTTGGGGGCCCGTCCAAACTGAGAACCTTAGTCCCAGGAGCCATACCTTAAGATGGCATTTGGTACCACGCAAAAAGCCCAAGTTAGATGGGGAACTTGACACTCAAAGATAAATGCCAAGGCAATGTAAGTATTGTGGCAAGAAGTGACAAGGTCCGAGAGATGTGTGAGGAGCTAAAGAAAAATCATCACCTAAGAAAAATGATGTGGTAAACAACCTGAAATGCAATGAAATAATCTACAATTACGATAATGCATGAACTCCTGTGAGAAATAAATTTTTCTTGCCTCAGAAAGGCACCAACAACTCAGTGGCATCAGCTATGAGGTAGCATCAGAAACACCAGTGCTGTGAGGAAGCCACCCTGAAGCACCAGGAATGAAAAGAAAATAAATCAGAGGAAGTGCTGTCTAGGCAAAAGCTTAAACCAGCAAGGGTGGCAAGAGCTGGAACTGGCTCAAAAGGTTGCAGCTCTAACAGGGAACTTCTAAACTAAAGGCAGAGGTGGTCAGCAAAGTTTTGCAGTGGCAGGCCAGATCCCAGCTCTGGTCTGAGGCAAGAAGGGCTTCTGGCCCAGCTGCTGCTTCTGAATCTCCTGGCCACCTGGCTGTTGACTGTCTAGTGTGGGGCCAAGCAGCTGGAGGGCTTTGTTTGGGCCATATTATTGAACAGCTGGGAGAAGCAGTGGCAGCAGCAGTAGCCAGTGGCTGTATATTGTGGACCTTAGGCAACCTTAGAGTGTGAGCAGTTGGTTCCCAATAAGACTCACCAGCCTGTTCTATAAATTCTCCTAGAGTGCCAGGAGTTCATTGTATCCCTTGCTAGGAAACTTTGATCCAAAATCAGGAACATAATTAGTCTATGGAGATGTACTATTTTCGTTCTTAAATTTCCATTATAGTAATCTTCACTCACAGAGCAGAGGTAAAAGTTCTGGAGGGGATGGTAGGTGCTCTATTGCCTCCCTGACCAAATTACAGGAACAGTGTTCACAAAGCACACTCCTTTGCATGCATCTACTTAACTAGTGACTAAAGAAACAAGGCAAATGTGGGTGTCCAGCTAAAAGACAAAGTTGCAAACACCAAGGTGGATTTATAGAAATACAGTCTGACATGGTGGAAGTATGCAAGAGTCATTAGTTTGGGAGGTTTAAACATGTAGGAAGATGTGACTTCTAACTCTGTCATCCCAAATTATTTGCTTGAACACTCCCTTTCTTTTCTCCCAGGTAATCCCCAAAAACAAAATCCAGCATGCAAATCTTGAACTGGATCTTAAGGCTGGGATATGGACACCCGCTCTTGAAGATTTCCAGGGTAGCTTGTTCCAATGTTTAAGTACCCTCACATTACTCCTTCCTAATCTCCAGCCTAAATTTCCCCTGCTGCAGTTTGAGGCCTTTGCTCCTAGTTCTGTCCCCCACAACCACAGAGAAAAGACTGTCTCAGTCCCCTTTTATAATCCCCTTGATATCTGAAGATTGTTATCAAATCCCACCCCCCAGTCTTGTCTTCTTAAGACTAAACAGTTCTACTTCTTTCAGCTTTTTCTCATAAATCCTGTTTCTCAGGCCCCTAATAATTTTGTCACTCGCCAGTCTGTCCACATTTCTTAAAGCATGGAGCCCAAAACTGGGCACAGTACTCCAAGTGGGGCCTCCTGAGTGCTGAACAGAGCAGAAGCATCACTGTCCTGGATTTGTATGAGACACTCCTGTTAATACAACCCAGTATGCTTTTGTCTTTTTTTTCTTTTTGTAATAAGAGCACACAGTTGGCTTATATTCAGCTTATGGTTTATTTGAACCCCCAGGTCCTTCTCTGCTTCACAACCTAGCCAATCATTCCCCAGTCTGTATTTGTGCATGCAATTATTCCATCCCAAGTGCAGGATATCCTTTATGTCAAACAAAAAGCTCTATCTCCAGCCTTTCTAAAAGCCTATCTGAGAGCAACCATGTAAGTGTTAACACTAAACCCAGGGAGGACTGAAAAGGTACTCAGGAAAAATTACAGTGGGGAGGATTTAAACAAAAGTTTTTAAGGGATATAAAGTCTCGGGTGCTGGAGCATAAAGCATCCTCATGAGGAGATGGGGAGGTTTCTTTCTTCAAGAGCAGATCATTCTATAATTGGCCACCATTGTTTTTTGGTACCCGTTATTACTATAAACAGGATACTAGATTAGATAGGTTATTGGTCTGATCAGGTGTAGTACCTATGAAGAAAGAAGCACTTAAGAGAAACATATTTCCTCTACAATAGAGGTTTTCAAATTATTTTAGCTGTTTATCCCTTTATCAGCAAAATATTGCTGCTATACTTCCTACACCTGACTCAGTTCTTAGGCAGAATGTTGACCACAATGTCTGCACACCAACACCATTGTACACTATGTGTTGACCAGTCAGAAACTCCACGTGCCCCATGTGCCTGTTTTATTCTAGGGCTGTGTTTACACGAGTCACTAACTGTGCAGTTGTTTCCACGCAGTCATTTAGTACTTGCATATCCATGAACCATGATGCGACACTACTATGCAGTAGTAATGAGCTACTGCACAGTCAGCATCTCATGTAGGTGCAGCCCAAAATGCCCAAATAGCAGCATCAAAAAATAAATTAAAGACCTTTCTTCTATTTTAGACTTCCCCTTCATATAGATTGCACACCTTCGTGTAAGGCTCAAACCTAGCTACAGCCATCTATGTTTCGCATCTTCATTTTGATCACTGAAATTAATCGTACCCAAGAATGAAGTCACATACCATATACAAGTTCTAACTGGTAAAAAAATTAAATCCATTTTCTTACGGCTGTGTTAAGGAGGTCAGTTTGGTGCTTTCTTGTTAACATCAGCTCCCTATTGAGTGTAAATTTCAATTCAAGGACTTTCTGCCCTAATATTCAAAGTCTTCTACAGACTGGAATTACCTGAAAGATCATCTCTACCTTGCCTTCTGCCTCACTTCTAACTCTCCCATCACAGCTATCTTTCATTGAAACGCTGGAAAATTCAGCTACTAGGAGAGGAGGTGCTCATATACGGCAGGGAAAATGTTGACAGGAATTGGACCTAGACTATGGAACACTCTCCCACAGGAGGCAAGTCTAATTGTGGAGTTCACCATTTAAAAAATAAATGCCATTTTTTTACTCAGCTTTCCTTCAACAAAGACATTACAAAGAACAGACTACATGGACTAGAGAGGAAGAACAAGGTGTTGACATTATTGTTCCTCTTTAAAATACTCAAAGGGCACTCAGAAACTGTACTCATAGGTGACATATTGGTATCCTGATGAGCAGATAGAGTGCTTTTTTAGAGAAAGAAGTATAAGTTGATAGCATCCTTAAGTGGTTATAACTCAATCTTCTTTTTTAACCAGCTGTTTCAAGTGATAGTTTTTTCAATGTGTGCCTACTAAAACTGTTACTTCAGAAAGCTAGTAAGGAATTTTCTTTTTAAACAAATAAACATATCTAGCTTTTCCATGTATTTTTAATAAACTTCATAAAATGCCCATCAACAGAAAGATAAATTTTCTTGTGGTAGCAGAGCTGGATGTGATTACTTTCTCACTAGCCCTTCTCAGACCCTGAAAGTGAATCAAGCAATGAGAGAGGGAACACAGGAGGGTGGAGTATGTTACCTCACACTTGTCAAACAGGGCTATTTTATTTTTCCCATTGAATTAAAGTCCACTTCATCCCTACCGTATAGACTCATAGAAATGTAAGGCTGGAAAGACTCTCAAGAGGCTATCCAGTCTAGCCCACTGCACAAAGGCAGGATCAAGTATATCTAGAACATCCCTGACATATGCTTATTTAACCTATTCTTAAAAAACCTCCGGTGAAGGGAGATTATGGAAGCAGCCTAAGCAGCCTGTTCCAGTGTTTTATTAATTAGAAAGCATTCTCGAATATCCAACTTAAACCATCTTCACTGCATATTAAGTTGATTTTTTCTTTTCCTTGAACAAGGAAAACAATTTATCACAGCCCTTTTTATAACAACCTGTTATTTACTGGAGGATTGTTATGTTCACTCCTTAGTCTCCTCTTTTCCAAAAGAAAAACCACCAGTTTCTTCAACCTTTCCTCATAGATCACAGATTCTTATTTTTGTTGCTCTTGCCTGCACTCTCTTTATATCTGTTTTAAGGATGGTCTCTAAAAAACTGGACACTGCTGGACAGTGTCAAATAAAGAAGAATTTACTTCTGTTTCTACAAATGACAATCTGATTAATACATCCCAGAATAAGATTATCTTTTTTGAAATCTGATCATATTGTAGGCTCATATTTAGTTTATGAGCCTACAATATGGCCACTATATGAGCCACTATAAACCCAGTTGTATCTCTGTTTAGCCAGTTATTTCAAATTTTGTATTTGAGCATTTAATTTCTCCTCCTTCAGTGTACCACTTTATACTAATCTTTATTGAATTTCATCATGTTGATTTTAAATCATCTCTCAAATTTGTTAAGATTCTTTTTGAATTCTTATCCTGTTCTCCAGAATACCTGCAACTGCTCCAAGCTTGGTATCATAGGTAAATTTTGTAAGTATACCATTGTATGCTATTCTGTATTCTTTTCCTCTTGTCATTACTAAAGTACTGGAGTGTTGAACAACTGTTCAGCATGTAATCTGTACATCTGTCACACATCGTTTGTCCTTTTACCTTTTCTCAAGGAGGAGTAAGCGTATTGTCTGGGTATGGATATGTGCATGCACACGTATGCACACTTTCAAGTGTTGTTATGTATTCATATTAGAAAAGGCTAGTTTAAGGAAATGCATCTTGTATTTGGGAATAGAAGGTGATGTGTTTTTTTAATGGATTTTGATTCCTATGGGAATCTGTTCCAGAGGCCCAAAGTGGAACCTGGGAAAATGGTTTTCTTTTTCTATACAGGCACTACCTGCTTTTACTAGAGTTCTGCTGTGTCTGAAGAGTAAAATTGTTGACTGTGGTCTTCATCTTAGAGGGTTACGTGGTCTCTTAGAACTCCATTGAGCATCCTGAACATAAGGACTAAGATCTTGAACTTGATATCCGATAGGAAGCCAAAATTGTAAGTGGAAGATAAGTCTGATGCTTTCATAGTAACCTCTGCTTCTGAAACGATTGTCTGCATCCATAATAGTAGTTTATTAAGCACTGGAGCTTCTGGAAAAAATTAATTTGGGACATAGTAGTCACAACACACAAGTACATGGAAGGTCTGTCTGTTCAGAACAAAGCACAATGGGCAAATTCTCCATGCTAGCTCCAGAAGTAGAAGCACTAGAGCTACACTAGCATCACTTTGTATCTTAAGACAATTAACAGAGCTTGTTCTTTGTTGCCTTTCAGGAAAGCATATTATCCTGTGCCTGGTGCTAAACTAATGGGCCTCTGCTTCTTAGGAGTGAGGGGTACAGCCTCTGAATCAGAACTTCCTAGATCATAAATGCTGGAGGACAAGTCGGAGAGGAAAAGGGAGAAAACCCTGGTTATGCTCAGTTCATTTTCCTTTTCAGTATTCCCACTCTGCCACTGTGGGTGCATCTACACAAGATGCTTTATTGCACATTAGGCTAATTTAATGCACAGCAAAGTGTCACTGTCTACATGTGTGTGTCAATTAGTTCACATCATTTGCTAGTACCAATACATGCAGGTACTAGAAAAACAGTGCATTAACTAATGCACTGAAGCTCATGTGTAGACACTGGTCAGGAGCAATTTGCTCCTGGTCAGCCCAGGCAGCAGGGGGTCACAACTGCTGTCCGGCTACGCCCTGATCTCTGCAGGGTAGGGGAAGTTGCCATGGCTGCATGGCAGCTCCCTCCTATCCGCAGGATCAGAGCCAGCCCCAATCATTGCCCCCTTGGAGCCTAGGCCTGATGCCAGTGCATCTTGCCAGCTCAGGGCTGGCACCCAGGGGAGCCTGGAGCTCCCCCTGGCTACTGCAGGGGGGCAAAGCAGGGCAGGAACAGCTCTGGATTGAACTGCTCCGGTCAGAAGCAAATTTGTTCCTGACAGGTGCATGTTCAGATGCATGCCTGGATACAGTGTGCCTGGATTTTCTGCATTCATTGCATGTGTAGCTATACCCTGTGTGATATAGGATATTGAGCAAGATGAACCTATGGTCTCACCCAGTAAGTGGTAGTTCTTGTGCTTCTAGTGCCAGAGTTAGCATGGACAGGAGCATGGAATACCCTTGCATGGTGTTGCCTACCAAAATTACCTGTGTAATTTTCAAAGTTTCTCTCAGAACTAGGAGCAGCAGTATAAATGTTATACCTAGATTTGGATATCTTGCATGGTAGTTAATAGCAAGAAAAGTGAAACCAAAGATTTGCTTTTTATTATAGGTTTATATAGGTTATTTAAAACCCATTCAAAGTATTTCTGAAAATCTTTAACTGGCTGGGTGTCATCATACCCAGTCAGTCATCATAATACTTCAAGCTTTTTCATAATAAAAAAAAATACAGAAAAGAATCAGCAGAGAAAAATACCCGGATCATTTCAGTTGGTTGGTTAATAATTCCTCCTTTTCTCCATTTTACAGTTGAGAGCCCCAAAGAAGAGGAATTAATGTCTTCAACACCTCTTTGCAAATCATGGCTTGGTTCCAAGGTTACAGGAAAAATCATTGTTAAAGCCAAGATTAGAACTTGAAGGATTCTGATTCAAGAGTGTTTACACTCTTACAATCAACAGCCCACACCAATCTCTCATGGTAATAGGTAGCATACAGTCTGTGCAGGAGTACTTGGTACCAGCCTATATTAATATACGAAGAGTATGACAAATGTATTAACAGTGAAAAATGTTTTATTTCCTTCTAAAGTTACAGCTACAATTTATTGCACATCAGTACAAGTGAAACATATACAGTGACTATAATCACTTTCAAAATAAAACACTAAAATTATTGTTTTGGACATTTTAATTGAACATTTTACTTGTCACTTAATTTTTAAAAGATAGTTTAACAATAGGTAGGCAGCCACAATCGACACTCTTACTGTTTTTCAAATGACATTTCTCTAGCACAGTAAGAACAATATTGACCATATACAGACTTTACTCTTTGAAATCCCTCTCTCCTCATTTTTTTTGTCCATTGATGACCAACCTTCAGCCTTATCTCTGAAGAGGTGTACAGCTCTGTTGCACTGAAAAACTGCATGGAAACCTGTCAGAAGCTAGAAATCCAACTCTAATTTGCATAAGTCACTTCCATATTTTATATGAAAAGCAATTGTGCACAACTATAATATTTGCTTTTACTTCCTTAACAGTTGAACGGAAGTTGCCTGGTGTTTGAGTTAATCAACAATAAAACTATATGGCTGATCAGCTTCATCTTCATCCTTTGACTGTGAAGGTGGGAGTGGCTGTATGTTTAATTTTATGATGATATAGGTCATATTTAGCTCTTAAGTAGCATGATCAGTATGAATGCCTTGTAGAGTGCCAATTTAAAGGAATGGAACACAAGTTCTCTTGTGATTTTATATAATTAAAATGAAACCTACAACATTTTAGTATGGAAAGTAGTACCTACATTAAGATTGGCTGTAAGGAAACAGAATTTTACTTATTTTATAATAGTAGTGGTAACTGTTGAACGCTACTTTGTATCTTAAGACAATGAACACAGAGCTCATTCTTATTCAATACACATGTTTCTGCATGGTTTACAGGACAATGGATCAGTTTAATCTTTGCTATAGTAACTTATTCAACTTGCACTTAGAGGGCCACACCACGGATGAATTTCGGCCAATGTTTTTTTTATTTTCCCCATCAGAACATTCTGCACAATCCTGCTATTTTTTAAACATGCAACTTAAAATGCATAGCTTTGCTTTTCACAAGAACAGAAAAAATATATTTTTAGAAAGTGTATTAAAATTATGTTTAAACAAACTATGCACACCTATTCTAAGATCTACACAAAAGTTGTTGAAAACTACATTTAATTCTGCATATTTCTTTTGATTTTCTTAAATAACAGCTAAAATACTTTTGTTAAGGCATAACAAAAGTTCTGGATGATGCAATAAGTAAATGTTGAAAGGGAATTAGTGACAGCAGTGAATCAATTAAAATATAGCCAAGCATCATCATATTTTGGTCAAGTGGCCGTATGTTTGTTAAATTTGTAATTTAAAATATCTCCTAAACTCACTTCTTGACGCCCTGAAGAATTATCATCTCAGGGAAGAGAGTGGAGCAGGAAAAGGCCTATTTCTACCTGGTGCCACTTTTTATGGGCATCATTGACATCGACTAGCCAGGTGCTCATAAATGCTGGGAAGGCCAATACTAGTCCTCCTAAGAGATAAGAGGTAAGTTTTTTCTTGAGGCTGTGAAAATAGAGAAGGGAGGGAAACAAAGAGGGGATGTGTTCAAGCCAACAAGTCAGAAGATGATTTTCACCAAATGTTTTTAAAAGATTTGAGAAAGGCAAGCTGAGACTCAAGATCAGAGATGAAGAGCCTAATAGCTGACACAGAAAATAACAGTTGTTGTTTAGGAGGCTTTTTTACTTATTCATTTTGCCACACTATGTTAGGGAGGCTTATAATTAACTTTTCCCGAGTCTTCTACCATCAAAGCAAACAGCAGAGACACTGGAAAATTTTGGTAATTTTCAAAATGTTCCCCTTCAAAATACCATACAAAATTCAAACAGCTCATAAATTACAATAAGAATTTGAAATTAATCCTCTCAGAGATTTTTTAAAAATAGCTGTGATCCCTTTTAAAATGAAAAGCCAGGTCCAGCTTTAAGTACGGTGACGCTTCTGCTCCAAAATTGTATAAAGTGAAAGGGGAAACTCCCCCAAATGTGGGGCCTTATCCTGGAAACTCTTGCTCCCATACCTAAAGTTCATTCGCATGACTTCACTGAAACTACTGAGTAGTAGTACACATGGTAGTTTTTGCAAGATCAAGGCCTTGTTTTGTACAACACAATCAAGGTAATTTCTACAAGGTCAGAAAGCTGTAATGAGAGGAAGTGAAATCCTGGCCAGTTATATCTGGAATCAATTAAGTGTTTTCTGCATTTTTCAGATGGTGCTTGTCCTTCTATTTAACGTCAGCTCAACCAATTCAAGTTACTAACAAAATAACAACTGGACAATGCATATGACACACTACCTTCGCTTCAAAATTGGCTGTAATACAAAATAAGGAATGGGAGGAAAACTTGTCAAAAATTTGAGTTTAAAGTGAACCTGTTTTCCCCCTTAAATGATAAACTGGCCAACAATCTTATGGATGGGCTGGCATAATTTCAGGTTCTACACAACTTGTTTTGGGTGTTGTATACTTGTATGAAAAGCAAATGAAAAGTGAAGAGGTGTTCAAGCTAACAGGTTACCCCGAGTCAACTATGTTGCTTTGCACTTTCAACCAACATGTTGGGATACACGTTTGGAACAAAGTAAAATCTTACTGGATTTTTCATACTTGATGAATTTAAGCTGAAACAAAGTCTAGCACTAGCCAACTGGATTCATTCTGGAGAATGAGCCCTATTCAATGAAAAATAGACCTTACTGAATCCTTCCTCCCTACAGCCCTTTTCCCACAATTTAACATTAGTAAAGTTAAACAAGTCTTGTGTAAAAAGAGATCATATTGTAAGTCAGATTCAGGGACACAGAATAAGATTTTAGTTAAATTCACAGGAAAAATGGATTAATTAGTATTGGAAGCTAGAACTAGTAAAAAAAAAAATCCAATAAAACAGGCTTTCACAATGGATTTTTTAGGGACAAAAATTCCATTTTGGCCTTTTTTCTGTCTTTTGTTAGTTTTTTGATAAAATTTTAAGTTTTTAAATTTCATTTTCAGAAAAATCTTACTGTCTTTCACTTCTTCCCTCTTTCATATGAGAAAAAAGCCAAATGGAGCATTTCCCCTCCATTGAAACATAATTTAAAATTGTTAAAAGCTAAGCATTTTGACTTTAAATATATTCAGAAAAAATAAGATTAATGAAATCTGTTCAACAAAAAATCTTCCTTCCCTTTTCAAAAAATAAACTTTACGCTACTAGGAATTAGTACTTATATGACTGTGTCCCTCAGCCTTCAGATGAGCAAAACCCCCATGGGAATTTTCTCTGAATACATAGCATAGAATCTTTCATTTAGTAACAAGGTAACTCGGAAGGAAAACATAGAATTGCCCACAAAAAGTGGTTATTATAAACATTAAAGGAAAATGAAGGAAGGAATTAAAATGCCCAAAAGGACATTAAGGAAGGAATTAAAACGTCCTTCAAAGAGTCTGAAAAAGTAGACCCCCAAATAAGCTCGTATAGTTCTGTATTGTGTACTTCCGTGTTACCATGTGCATGAGTAAAAGCCAGCTGTTGCCATGGTTATTATATTACAGTAGAGTCAGATCTCATACAGACAGTACTGTAATGGAGAAGAGACTCACCTTTGACCTGCCTCGTTGCAACCCAGCCTCAACTGGGTGACATTCTTCAAGAGTAGTATGGTTACTGCTCTTTCTGGCAAGGGATCTCGGGCCATGCCCACAGGAATGGGTTAATCCCTAACAAGTCAAGCTGTCTTTTCTCAGCCTTTTAAAAAGCTATGAACACTTGACATGGTTTATGTTTACCCCAGCAGCAACAAATTCACCCTAAGACCAATTATGGCTAAAATTGTCATGCTTTCAATGCTTGCCTTAACTTAATGCAGAGCCTGTTTGTTTCCCCTGCTTTCAGATGTGCAACCTACTTATTTTTATGTAGCTGCCACACAATGATTTGCTCCAGCTTTATGATTCAACCTTTGCCTCTCTGTTCAAGTGTTTAGACCTCAGTTTCTAAGACAACATCTTTTTAGAGAAATATATATCATTTAGGAAAAAAATATTCCGTCCTCTGGGAAATGTAATATTTTTGCATTCTTTCAGAGCATGTTTCCACGGAAAACCCAAAGAAGCAACATGCCCTGTATGTGAACTTGGCTCACAGACTGCAATATTCAACCTGCTTCCTTGACTTAATGGTTTTTATATATGTATAAACCACTAAGGTATATGGATATACATAAACAAACCATGGTATCAGCATTATCACAGCAGCTCTCACATGTTCTTAACAGGCTTGTGCCCCATTGTGCTGGTCACTATATAAATATATTTAAAAAGATGCTGTCCCAGTATGGCCTAGGAGTCAGGTACTCAACTCCCATCAAAACTCACTGGAATTTGGGAGCTTAATTCCTTCAGACTCCTCCAAATCAAACTGGGATCAGGCTGTCTTCTAATATATCTCCATACAGTGTTAGCACAGTAAGGCCCAATTCTTAAACGGCAGCTTCTAAAACTTTTAACATATTCAGAGAAGATAGTAAAACATAATCTTTCCTGTCTAATTAGGTAGGTTGTAGTTGATAATATGAGACAGATTTAGCAACTCACTCCAACAGTAGCAGCTTCTACTTTTTCCTTTAATGACTTACAATTCATGTCATGGTCTGTATGGAAGACAACAGCATCACCGCAGTCTGTTAAACTGAGGTAAAAAGACTTTTTGAAAATAAGTAGGTTTGCATTTCTGTTTTATTTAGAAATAGTTTTTGGGATTGGGTTTGTCGTTACAGAGCAGGGTTCGTTCGTGACCATTATGCAAACAGCAGTAGAGACACTGGACTCAGCAGCTGTAGAGGAGACTTGCAGTAGGAAGGACTGAATATTTTGCATCATCAAGGGAAGCAAGCAGCCTCAAACACAGGGGATTTAGGAGTCAGCCTCATGACGGAGCTGTGACAGTTTGCATGAAAAGAAACGTCTCGGAAAGACTTTCAACCATGTCTTTCAAACCCTGCCACAAAGGGGAAAAGAAAAAGTGTGTTTGCAGCCGCCTTCAAAACTAGCTGCAAACGGAGGGGACCCCAACCGCCCCCCCCCACCATGGAATCCGAGTGCGCAGGGCTGCCTGGGGGACTTCAGCCAAGCATCGCATCAGGAAAATACAGCCCACCGTATAATACGAATACAACTACTTTTATATCAAACAAAAGGGATATGGGTACACATAAATATGCCATGGTATCCCCATTATCACAGCAGCTCTCGCATATTCCTAATAGGTTTGTGCCCCATTGTGCTAACCCCAGCAAGGAAAGCTGCAGGAGGGAAACCTGAGGGAGGGAGAGCGGTGAAGACAGGCCCTGACCCAGGGCATCCAGGAGGCCAGACATAAAGCGGGGGCCAGACATAAAACAGAGCCCAGTGCCTTTAGAAGCGGGGGGAAAGGTGGGGGGATCCGACATAGGCATGGAACAGGCCTGGCCCCGGCCAGCCCCAGCTCTTAGGATCCCATGAGGAAAAAAAAAAAAGAGCCGGAGGCTTTGCCCTTCCTGCCAGCGTCTCCCGCAGCTCCTCCCCCCCCAGTTGGTGCACAGCACCGCGACCCCTGCCCCTTCGTCCCCGGGGAAATCCCCTGTCCCCACCCAGATGACACGCGCGCGCGGTCACGCACTCATCCCCCCGCGGTTCCTCACCTCCCCGCGCCCCGGGATTCCATCCCCCTGCCCAACGTTCCACTCCGCCTCTGACGCCACCGTGACAGGGCTTTCCTTTCCCTGACGGTAATTTCCCGGCGGCGCCGATTGGCTGCGGCTGCCGACCAATGGCAAGGGCGCGACCCCTCCCCCCGCCTCCCTCCTCCAGCCGGTGCTGGGCTGGCGCGGCGCGGGCAGGTTGGCGGGTCCCCGGGGAGGGGGCGGCAGCGCGGAGGTGGGGGAGGGGGCAGCAGCCGGCACCAGGTGGCCCCGGGCTCATCCCGTAAATGCACGAAGAGCGCCGCACCACCACCGAAAGCCACGGAGGCGGCCGGGGCACGGAAAAGCTCGGCCGGCCGCGGGCCCCCTGCCCTG